TATATTTAGAATACATTTCACTCCGTTTATTAAATAAAACAAAGAAAAAGTTAAAATAGCCATTTTCAACAAATTTAGTAAAACGGTAACTACAACCTTATTATTATTGACTACAACATAATCTAGAGCTTGAATTGACAAATACAGTATAACTTAATAATATTAAAAAGTTGACCAATAAACATTAAAAAATTGAGTCCAAAAAGTATCAACGTTTATTGAATTCAGACCACACTTCGCCATCATTTTATCAGATCAGGGTATGAAGGGTATTGTGCGTACAAAAATGCTACTTGTATACGCCGACTTACACGATCATTTACACGCCAAGTGTACTTTATCTTTGCACATGCAGTTACTTTTCATTTTAGTAAAGAGAATTGTTTGTGACACCGAACAAGTGAATTGTTCGTGCACCGACTATTCGAGGTCACAAACATTTCCCTTCATTAAAATGAATCCATTATTTGTGCCCAGCCAAAATATACTTAACTCGTGAATGGGCGTGTAAGCCGACGTGTATAAGTATCATTTTTGTTCCGCATTTCCGAGTTCCCTCATCAACTATTTTAAGGGTTAGGAAATGGATGGGGGTCCTCAAGTCCTGGGGAATTAGTTAGTGTGCAGTGTGTACGTTGCCAGCCAGGAAATGGGAAGGATATGCACATAATTAAGGAGTAAGATAAGAGAGCATAATTGGTGTTGGGCCCCAATCCAAAAACAGATGGGCCCCCAACATTAAGCATCTAAATTGGATCCGAATGGGTCACTACTCTCTGCACATGCAACTGAAGCAATAGATTTTGTGGCTCAAATTATCGAGAATCAATCCGGTGGTGCTGTTTATTACTCCCTCCGTCCCGGTCATTTATTCCGAGTTTTCTTTTTGGACCGTCCCAATTAATTCTTCCAACTTCCATTTTTGGAAAAAATATGTAATTCACTTTCATTCACCTTTTTCTTACACAACTACAACCATACATTTTCACTTTATTCTCAGTACCTAAATTTGCGATACCGGTCAAAACCGGAAGAAATGACCGGGACGGGGTGAGTACTTCCTTTGTCAAGGCTCCGCAAACTACGTTTAAAAAACATTTTAATTTCCGTTAGACAAGAGTGTTGTCTTACTAAATATGGAATTCCAATTGCTGCCTTCCTTCCCAGTCCATGAATTTTGGACATTTTGTTTTAAATACTGGAAAAAACGAACCTTATAGTGGATGTGTACTCTTTCTGTATGCAGTTCATTGATTTTAGATCGACGGTCCTCATTGATATGTGTATAGTACATCATATTCTCAACGCACATGATTGGGTGAGGAATTCTCACCTACTAAATATAACCTATATATGTTGTAAAAAATGGACCGGTGAGGGTCAATTAACTGGGTCACGGGTCAACCCGGATCCGGTGGTTCAACCTGATCAACGTCGGAAAACCAATCAACGATTATACTGTAGTTATATACAATAATAATAAATGTAGTTATTATTCATAATAATCGACTAACAATACTGTTTATTAAGCATTTAATACACTCTCATATTATTTAAAAGTATAATTTTGATCCTATAACAATATATAATGATATTTTTATTTGTATTGTACATCTATATTAGAATTGGCATGATTTTCATTCTTAAATAAATATACTTCCTATAATTAAATATATTACATAGTTTTTCTTTTTAGGGTATTGAAACTACAATTTTATTGGTTTAAAAAAGCCATTTAAATTAAAAAGATTTTATTTGGAAAACACCCAAAACCGGGTTTTCCCGAGTTTCTCGGGTTTCTTGGGTCCGAGTCTGGACCGGGTTTTCCCGATTTTCTCGGGTTTCTTGGGTCCGGGTCTGGACCAGGTTTTCCCGGTTCAGTCATGATTTTCTGGTTTTTGACCATTTTCGGGTTTTGAACAAACTAAATCGGGTTTTCATCTGGGTCAACCCAGCCGGGTCGGGTCGGTTTTTAAAACATAGAATATAACTCATATGTAGTACGGAGTATATAGTAACAAAACTTGAAAAACTCAAACTTTAGATCTTACTTTGATATGAAAGTCAGCCTAGTCAGGTCCTATTATGAGTTCGATTGTTTGTTTTGCAGTTATGATTTAGAGTAACCCTCGACTCAGGTCATTTATTCACCCTTATATTGTTGCTCGATTTTGGCTAGGGGTGTAGAAGTATTTGTCTTCCTACTTTGAATTATCACGCTCATAATAAGAGAAAAGTGTCATATTGGCCCTTCTACTATGTACATAAAGTTAATTCTGTCATCGTACTTTAAGTTTCATCAGTTATATCCTCCTACTTTGTAATTTTCGTCAAAACCGACTTTTAGCAAGTCACGTGTCGGTCAAAAGGTTATATGTTGGCGTGACTAGGGGTGGACTAGGCCGGGTCCGGGTCGGGGTCTTCGAGCCGGGACCAGACGGGCTCTGATCCAAAATTATTAGGTCCGATATCACCCTAATTTTTTATTGATACCGGGTCGGGCCGGGCTACCTGGGCAGGCTTCAGTACGGGACTATGTCGAGTCGGGCCACACAATTCCAAGCCCAAATTTTGTTATTTGGAATTCTTGACCGTTAGGCTCGGATCGAGCCCGACCCGGTTGGGCCAGTCCACTAAAATCAAAGTTCAATACTGCCTGCTTCTTTGTTTCTCCGTCTATGACCGGCAAATAGAGTCGGAAACATTGTTTATTCGGAGATAGGCAGTTATTTTTTATTATTGAGACTTGATTAGAGTTTGTTGGGTTAATGGCCCAATGTGGGTTGACCCATAAAACCTTCAAGGCCCTCCCTACGAACGTCCCCAGAAGGCACGAGACAACGAGTTACCTTTCCGTTTATCCTGGCAAGGTTCGTCTCCAACAGGGCCAGACCTCAACACCAAGGCCCATGAGACGATCGTATTCTGATATAGGCGAATGCTTTGACCCAGGGGCAGCGGCTGACGCTCGTCTTGCAGGACTTTGGACCCAGCAGAAAGCAGGAAGCAAGCTCGAGGGGACGAACGTCCCCACCCCTTGGCGGGAAGCCAAGATCCTGGCAGGGGCCGAGCCTGACGCACGTCTTGCAGGAATTTGGACCCGGCAAAAAGCAAGAAGCAAGCTCGAGGGGACGAACGTCCCCACCCCTTGGCGGGAAGATAAGATCATGGCAGGGGCAGAGCCTGACGCACGTCTCGCGGGACTTTGGGCCCAGCAGGAAACATGAGGCAAGCTCATGGGGACGAACGTCCCCACCCCTTGGTTGGAAGCCAAGATCCTGACATGAAGCGCATTTAATGCAGAAGATTTGGTGGTTTCGCATTTAGTGCAGAAGATTTGATGGTTTGGATCAAGTCATCCACAGCCCGCCACGTCAACGCATCTAACTACCAATTGGCGGTATAAATAGTAACATTTATTTCATTGTAAAGGATGGCAAATCAGCACACTAACATTATAGCATTGTAACAGCTCGTAGCATAGCGAGAGACGAATGGCCTCTCGTCTTGTAACGCTTTCAGCGTATTAAGACTTCTTATTGGGCCCTTCTTGCTTGTTTCTACATCTACTTCGATACTTCTTCCATTCGAAACCCTTGGGTCGTGTGTTGGACCTACGAGTTGAAGGAATAAACCTCAACGGAGCTAGTAAGCTAGGGACAACTCTCTGTATCAATTTTGAACAAATGGTAACGAGTTTTTGGGGCTGCTTTGTAGCTGGCCGAAATCTGTTCAAATTTCTCATTTTCGGACTCCTTCGACATTTTTTCAACGACATCAAGGCTCGGTCATAAAAAACAAAATATATAAATGAGGACATTGTGAATAGGCTCACCTCCTCATATTTTTATTTTTATTTACAGAGCACCATCCATTTCAGTGACTATCGTTCACCTACTCACTTCTACAAGGACGAGGACGAGGGGGGGGGGAGGGGGAGGGGGAGGGGGGGGAGGGGGAGGAGGAGGAGGAAGAGGAGAAAAAAGAAAAGGAAAATTGAAAAGAAAAAAGAAAAGGAAAAAGTGTTGTAGTCATCACATGTGTGCTATGTCACGCCACGTGTGCGCTACGTCAACAAGTTACAGCTCACCTGCGGGTAACCTGTTAAAAAACGATTTTGACGAAAAAATAAAATAGGAGGACATAATTGATGAAACTTAAAAAATGAGGGCTACACTGATTTTCTATGCAAACTAGGAGACGAATCTAACGCTTTTCTCTATTAATGAAGCGAAAATGTATGATTAGGTTGGAGGGATAGAGGGTGAAAGTGTAACCACACAAATGATAACTTAAAAAAATGCGAAGATTTTTTTTTGGACATCCTAAAAATGCAATGAAAGAAAATTATGAAACGTGGAGGGAATAATACATTTAATATAAAAGAATTAATTAGCACGACTCATATCTTTGTACGGAACCTTAGATTTAACATGCACAATTGTGGGGAGAACTAGGGGTGGATTCGGGCGGGGCCTAGGCCCGAGCAGGCCACTGGTTCTGAATAGGTGGGCCCAGGACCGGTCCAGGTAGCCACCGGATCCGGTCCGGATCCAAGGTAGCCACCGGATCCAAGTCGGTCCGGATCCAAGTCGGGCCGGATCCAAGCCGGCCCCAAACCACCCCAAATGGCCCAAAATAGCCAGCCCAACCCAAAAAGTTAAAAAAATTGAAAAAAAGAGTAAAAAATCCGGAACCGGGCCCAAACCGGCCAGGCCGGTTCAACTTTTGGGTGACCCACGCCCGCACCGGGAACCCCTGGGCCGGGACTACCCGGACTGGTCACTGACCGGGCCACCGGAGAACATTCACTATGGCAACACATTCATACTGAAAAAAATGAGTATGAGCAAACACAAAATAAATCCATCAAGGTGAAACAAATGTTTAATTATCTCATATTTCATTTTAATTCCACTTTTCAGTGTTATTCCCCCCTTATTGTTTTACTAGCAACTTATGTGTTTCAAACCGACCACAAAAATCAATGATGCGCAACTGCACAATGTTAGAGAGTAGAGACTGAATGACTGGTACTCTGGTATTAGTACAAACACGGTTGGATGCAAAAGCTGGATGTTTAAATCCCGAGTTAAAAATACATCTCCATTAAAAAAAGCTAAGAGCAGCAAAACCCCAGTTGCAGATGTGTATGGACGTGGAATAAGAATGAGACATGCATCCATTGAAAATAAATTAAAGAAGGTACAACCACTGAAGATAACTGCCAGAATGGGGGTAGAGCCGTAGAGGGCTGAAGACCTGACAGTAATGCTGAAGAAGCCAGAGTTACCCTTACTGGCTGCTAAAATTTGAGTAAGATAATGTAAGCTACAATTTATATATTTGCAGCAGCCAGCAGGCGATCGATCCCTAGGCCCCTAGCAGTATCTATTGATGCCAACAGCTATGATCTTCAACTCTGATCTCCAGGCCTACCTATACTGAGGCAGTCACAGATTCACAGGAATGACATAACTCATGGTTTGAGTGTGGGGTTAAATGCTCAAATGGTACTCCATAACTATTTCTATTGTATTCCTCTATTCTGGTACCTCAACTGTTAACTATTTCAAGCGTCTCAAATCTCCAATATTCATGAAAAAGTTACATACCAAGGTGCCATGGGCCCACTGTGATCGAATTTCGATTATACAGTATATAAATGGGCCAGCAAGTGAACCAGATACCACATCAAGACAAATGACAGAAGCCACGCGAAAATGTGTTTGGTCAAGTAACGATATTAGCAATCTTGAAAGGTTTTTAGTGGAAGTTCACATGCTAAAAAACACTATTGTGCATTTCAATAGTCATCTTAATCACGTTTGAAAGGATTTACTTTGGCACCATGAAATGTAACATTTGTCATCAGTTGGATAACATTGAAATACATTAAGTACTTGGTACCAAAATGATATGATTGAGGTTGGAGGGCACGTTATCCTTTAAGGTGTAACAATAGTTTTATACGGTGAAGAAACGGCTCAAGAATGCTGGCCTGAGATGATTTTTCGAGCACTAGCTGAGGTGAAGCTCCTCACTTCACTTCCTCTCAAGATAAAGTGTGGATCAAGTAAGTTAATGGCATATATGGTATTGCTCTAATACCCTTCACGGCATAACCAGTTTCTGCATTTATTTTGGCCAAACAAGACAGACCATTTGATATAATCATTAAAGATCCAGAGAAAAGGACCGTATATGGAACAAAACCTGCAATTTCAAGAATAGATAAAGTCAAGATGATTACGGGACATTAATATTCCTGTAAAATTCAACCTTAAATGCGTCTTATTTATTTTCAAGGAACAAAAGCAGTTAATACGGGAAAAGTCAACAAGAAGAAATTTGGGAGATTAAAACAAAATATACATTTAATTCTTAAAATGAAAATTATTTTGAGGCAAAAAAGTATTGACGTTGAAATGATAACTAATTTAGGAGGACAAATATCTCATGGGTACAATCCTGAGCAAAGAAGATTTTTCTGTTGAAATATGGCCAATAGTGTGACATTAATAGATTCACAAGACCAGCCCAGTGCACAAGGGCATCCCCACTAGACGAGGGTCCACGGAAGGGTCCCACCACAAGGGTGTTAAGGGGCAAGTCTTCCCCTATCAAATTTTTAACAAGGGGCCGCTCTCAAAAGTTGAACCGATGCAACAACCCCCTCCCCCCCCCCCCCCATACAAAACTCCCAAATGTGAATTAGAATATTTGTTGAATCAGTATGGTATGTGATAATTCAATAGAGAATTCAATATTGGCATGCACACACATTTAAACAATATTTGAATGAACAATAGCACAAAAGAGGGACTGAAGCATTTGTGCATACTGCATACTGCATAGCATGCTTTCCTAGAGGCGTTGACGACACGAAAGACAGATGTGTCTAACAGAATTAGAAACTACAGGGAAGTGACGCATTTTCGGGCATAATGGAGATAGATTAACAAACTGTGTTGACTACAGAACGTTTTGTGATGTAACTCATGTCATTGATCAGGCCAATCGCAAAATTCCAGAAATGCTCAGAATTGCTCATAAAGTACCTCTCAGAGTAAGGGGCCAAGTAAAGAGGTATTCATACCTTATCCACACCGAATAAGAATCATCCTCCCTTTCCCCTAGACATAACTGTCCGCTAGGATGAGGGGTTGGGAGTTGGGACCCATTTGAAGGGGAATAACTTATTGCTTAGTCATTAGATTGATATATACTTGTATGCGAGATTTTTGTCAAAATTGTATTACCTCTGTCCCCTGAGATTGGGACATGGGAATGGTGTGATTATTAAAAGAAAAGTTGAGTTGTTTGTTATTGAATTGATAAAGTGTGAATAAAATAAGAATGAATTGTAACCACTCAAAATTTACCAAATATGATATTAGACAAATTTAATGAGATGAACAAAAAGGTAAAATGGGACAAACCGACAAAGATAGGCGGATGGATGGAGTATAACATTAGAAGCACCTCTTATTCGTTTTTAGACAAACTATTTATCAGTATAGAGATTAAACCCTCTATCCAAACATACCTAGGACAATAAATATTTGGCAAAATTGCCCCACATAGGAGTAAAATAATGGGAAATTACCCTAAATAGGACTAAAAACGTTTGTATATTTCAAAATAGGACTATCATGATTTTATTCCCAAAATAGGACTAATTACTGCAATGCTTTGTCAGTACCAGACTTTATACATGGCAGTATTTTTCAAACTTGCCAGTAATTACTCCTATTTTGGGAATAAAAACATGTAAGTCATATTTTAGAATTTTCAAACTTATTTACTCCTATTTGGGGAATTTTCCCTAAAATAATCCCAAAAGGCAAAAATAGGACTAAAGTTTATATATTCTCAAAATAGAAGTAATTTATACTCTCTTCATATGCTACCCTTGCCATATGTTAATAAGAAAATCATAATTTTATTAAATTTAAAAACATAAAATTAATAAAAACATTTTTATAATAAAAAACGTAGAAATATGAAAATAAAAAAAGAAATAGGGAAAAAATAAAAATTGAAAATGAATAATTAAAGCACATAAACATATGCAGGCCTCTTTAATCACCTCCTAGCACTGCCGCCACCGACTGCCAGAAAAGTGTCATCTTGTATTTAAAATGTGACTTTTTTATTGAGAATGTCATGAAAATGACATTATTACTCTTTGGAAATGCCAAATTTTGCTTTGAACTGTCATCAGGATGACATTATTGTTGCATGTTGACATTTTTTCAGTGGCAGTGCTAAAAGGTGGCAGCCGAGAGGCCTGCAGAATAATTTTATTTTTACGTATTTTATTGTTTTATTTTATATTATAAATAAAAAATATTCTTAGCAAAATATGGCAAAGGTAGGATAGGGAGAGTTACTCCTACTTCAGAAATTAAAAATTTATATTCCTATTCTTGCAATTTAGCTTTTATTTACTCCTATTTATGGAAGTACCCCTAAATATTTTTGTGCCTATCGTCTTAAGCTTATTATTCAATTCATTGCATATGATCAGACTGAGATAGTAATCATTTAATACATGCTGCATTGAATCTGCAGGTATTCTTTCTAACAAGATGGCTAAGGTAATATTTTGATTATTTGGATCGGAGTGAATTGAAAATTATGTTGCTCCAAAGCTATGACCAAATTCAAGTAACAATGTGATCATGGAATTTTTCTCTGTATCGTTCCAATTTTACCGAATGTCCCCGAAGGGACTGTGATCGTGGAATTTTTAAGAGATAAGTTTTACTCCAATGTTGGTGCAGACAACAATGTGATCATCAACTGTTTTTGTTTGTTTTGCTAGAAAGGCTCTGACTTCTGCTTAATAAGTGCTCTGTTGTTGTTTCATTTAAAAAAATAGGCTAAGGTCATATAGATCCCCACAGACCACAGTACTACCTACTCTCTCCAAATGACAATACTGCTTTCCTTTTCCATATGTCCCAAAATTATCTTTTCATTACTTAAATAGAAAGTATTCTGTTGTACTGTTGTCGAGATATTTCTTTTTCTTCTAAATAAATCTCAATCACAGAATCTCATATTTCTTAAGAAACACGCGAAAAATAAATGAAAAGCTGATTTGAGGATAGATGAAGTATAAAACAAGTTTTTCACTTCTGAGAAATGTAGGCTCACTCTCATGAACTAATACTACAAAGCAACAAAAGCAATATCTTCACTTTCTTAGCGGTTTTAAGTTATTTGCATATTCTACCAGTACACAACTGATTTTATATTGGATCAGCCACTTGAAAATCCAAAAGAAAGCCTCATAACACATCAAAACAATCATCAACAAGAAAAATTCTCTTAAAATAAAATAAATTTGACAAGATAATAATGTAAATACTAAATAAAAGGACAATAGTTTTTCATACCCTGAGACAAAATGGCCTTCTTGATGATGGAAAGAGAGAAGATGAGAAGTTCGGTCATAATCCCTAACTTCCATTGACCAGCCAAAACACATTTTTGTATACGTGCTGGAGAAGCTATGACTTTAGCTCCATGAATCGCTGCCTCACAGCAATCCCAAGCTCCCATTCATCAACACTAGCAAGGCCCTCAACCAGCTCCTGTCTTACCTTAATGTATGGTATGAATCCCTTTTTAGTCATATCTATCACGAATTTCCCCGCCAAGACAAACTGTCTACACTCTATGCATCCTTCAAGAACCAACTCAAAGCATTCGAATCCAAGGAATACTCCCTCGGCTTCTAACATCTCAACCAACTTAACCGCTCTCCGTATTTCCTTGTTAGCCGTCATTGCTTCAAGCACTTTCACCAAAATGTCCTGCCTAGGGTTCAATCCGACTGTCACCACCATTTCCCTTACCATCTCAGAAACTTCATCAATCATTCTGAGCTCGCACAGCTCGGAAATCAAAGACCCATAGCTGTCCAAATCCGGAATACATCCAGCTTGTCCCATTCCCCTCAACACACTAACGGCTTCTTTCAACTGATCCACCTTGCATAGTGAAGAAATAAGGTAATTGCAAGTTCCAGAATCTGGATTATATCCAATCGCATTCATCTCTGAGAGTATCTCGGAGACGGAGAGCAGATTCTTCCTGCGTTTAATCCACGCATTGGAAAGGAGCAAGTAGGATTGAGGGGGAGGAAGACAGCCAGAACGGATAGTACGTTGAAGAATCGCAAGAGCTATAGGAAGAGGGTTTGAGCTCTGTAGGGTGTAAGAGAGAAGAAAAGAATAGGCTCTCGAAGGACGATAACGGGGTCGGAGAGGAATAAACGACTGCAGAATGTCATCAATGACCCTGATTCTCATACTTTCCGGGAAGGTCGAGAGGAATGAGAAAGGGTTGTGGGTCTGCAGAGAGGTGTTGGAGGCAGCAAGGAAGTCGGGGATTTGCTCATAATGTTTGTTCTCAACGGCTGCCCTAATTGACTCTTCGAGCACTGCAGATGAAGAGAGTTTGCGTGCGGGAAAGAAATGGTGAACGTAAGAAAGACATGGCCTGAGCTTTGCCATCCATTTACTGGTTCTGGAATCTTGTTTGAAGGTCAGCAAGCACGAGAAATTCAAGGCGAAATCACATCGAGTAGGTGATGACTGACTGTTGAGGAATCAGTAATATGAATCAACTGTTTATAAACGCTAATTAACAATATGAGGAATAAGGATATGTTTAGTTCGAAGAAATTCAATAACAGGGAGACAAATAAAGTCCGGGATGTGGTTTTAATGGAAACTACTGTCTATAGACTTAGTACAATAAAAATAAATTATAAATGTAGTAATGTACACCATATATCTAGATGACTCCAAGGTTGCAAATGACATTCTCATGCACTGCCTAGATTTAGCATTTCATTTGAGCGTGGGCCAAAAAATTAAAATATATATAAAATAATTTCAATTGTAACAAGGTAAAATACAAAAAGAAGTGTTACAAATATTTTACAAGAATAGAAGTTTTCATCAAAGTCCACCACATCATATGATAAGGTTAGATAATACTAGTATTAAAAAGATCTTCACAAGTAACAATCATATTTTAAAAAATGGGGTTAATACTTAAATACTGCTCCAAGTTAAAGTTAGTTAAACAACCAATGAATTTTAATCACATACAAGTGCGACTCATGATGTCTAATTGTTTCATATTACCAAGTTGCCAACCACATTGCCAAGATAATGTAATATGGCATATTCCATCCATTCATGTTCAGAAATTCTTTACAAAACATTTTTATGGTTATCAGATTTCTTGGTGAGGTAGTTTTTTTGAGAAAAAGATTAACAAACATAATGATGCTAATTACCACTGTTAACAGCAAAAATGCTTTTAATGCTATTTATAAAAAGTTGCCAACAAAGTTGTATTTTAGAAAAATCACATTCATTTATCAATTCACCATCTTTGCAATAATAAGTTGTTGTTGAAAGCTCTAACCCAATCTAAGTTGTTGTCAGTTGTCACATTAACCTAAACCAGATTTTATCACTTTTTTCTCATCTGAAGTTGGGTTAAAAATAATGAACAACAGAACAAGTATTTTTTACAATAAGACATAAATTAAAAATAAGATGAAATTCAAGATTTTAACATGAAGATATACCATTTAATTGAAAATTAAAAACCAGATAAAGGCCTGAAGTTGGACAAAAGATGGTCAATTGATAATTGAATCTGAAATACTTCTTGAACGCATACCATATAAGTTCATTGATTGAATCTAAAACCCTTTCTATTTTGAACAAAATCTGGAATTTAATTTTCAATTAGTTAACCTGGATGAGTAGTGAGTCCGAGAGACGGAAATCAGAGTTCTTTACAGCGTGAAGGTGCTGCCGATGGACGCAGTCGACAGTTAGCCAGTCAAGCTCTGCGGCGGACGGCAGGGAAAAGCGCTGCGCGCGGTAGCTGGTGGTGGGCTGCAGGGCCGCAGGGGTGCTGCCAATATGCGGACGCTGGTAGCTGGTGCAGACTCACCGTTGAAGAAGACTGGTTGTTGCCTCGTCGGTCGTGCTGAAATGCTGAATGAGATGAAATATTGCTGCTGTTTGAAGTTTGAGACCTAAAAAGTTTAAAACATTTGAGTTGCCTAGCAAAACATACCTAATTGAAGTTTAAGACCTAGAGAATTTGCCAGCTGCATGCTACGCCGTGCTGCGGAAGGAGTGCGGGGGCAGAGGACTGTGCCGTTGACGGAGATGGACAGTCGGCTAAAGACGATGGTCGATCCTTCACTCCTGAAAACAATTTAGGCTTTGGACCGGGCCGACATGTATTGATGAGCGTACCATTTCTTACTTAGTGTGGGCCTAATATGAAAAGTCATTAAAGATATACAAACTGCAAAGGGTTCACTCTAATCAGGTTTCAACTTTCAATGTTTCTTGCCAAGTAACAGGGATAGTTCCTATACTTCCTAAGAGTAACAAATTTTGGAATTCCAAAAAAGAATAATTATGATTTTATTTACGAAATAGCCATTGCAACTACTCCTATTTCAGTACTAGGCAAAAAATGACAATGTTACTGTCATTAATGACAATATTTTTCAATCATAGCAGTAGTGATACTTATTTCGGAAGGAAAATATAGTGATGGAGTATATGGGTCCAGACCCCATGATCCACATACTCAGAAGACTAAAAGGAAGCACAGCTGTCACCCAGTGGATCCTCCGTCGGCCAGATGACCCTCCATCGGCTAGATAGATATCAACGCAGAATATGGTCCAGAAGCCAGGAGAACCAGGGTGCCCTAGACATGGCCTCGGTTTGGGTCGGGCCGGGTCTTGGTCCGGTTCTGACCAGGCTTGATGGAGTATATGGGCCTGGACCCCAGGACCCACATACTCAGAAGAATGAGAGGCACAGTTGTCACCCAGTGGGGCCTCCGTCGGCCAGATGGCCTTCCATCGGCCAGAAAGATATCAACTCAGAACACGGTCTAGATGCCGGGAGAACCGGGTGTCCTCATCGGCCATGGCTCCATCGCCATGGCTCCGTCGGCCACAATGGGCTCCCAGAACCGGGTTTCGCGCTTAATTAGTTCTACATATTTTGTACTCAACCCAATAGTGGCCCAATTGTAAATGGGTCTCCCAAGACTTGGGAGCCCAGCCCTAATTTCCTCTATAAATACTCCCTTGGGGGTAGTTGTAGGGGGTTCACAAATCATTTATTACAAAGAGTTATTGCACTTCTCTCTCTAGCTCTCACTTCTCTCTAGAATATATACTCTATCATTTGGTGCTTTCATTGAGAGCTGGAACAATCAAGTTAGCATCCCTCGTCGCTACCAAGCACAGCTAACTGATCATGGGAAGAACTAAGTCCAACCGAAACCTCGTCGACAAGGTCATCCCTGAGACCCAAGAGAATAGGGGACACGAGAAGGACGCTACGGCTGACAAGGCCGCCGAGGGGATGTCTTCCAGGAAGCCATCGACCTCATGACTGACCTGCGCAACAAGCTCAACGGAGGCGGCCCAGATGCCCGCATCGGCTTGGACAAGAATCGCGCAAAAAAGGCGACAATGCCTAGGGGCAACCGGCTTCTCCTGTCGTTGACCCTCAGCTCCAGGCCGCACTCTCGACCATCATCGCCAGCTTGGCCCAGAACCCCACCGTCCTTAGTGCACAAATACCGAGAACAGGGGAGAATACTACACCGCCTCCTCAGCCCTAGTCATTGGCCATCAAGATAGGCAACGATGAAGGGGTGGTGCCTCAGGACACGTCATCATCCCACTCCCACCCTGATTCCCCGTTTAGGGCTGGACCGACCCCAGCGTGTGGAAAAGCCTCAGCTTTCAATAGGCTAGGTGACACTCGCCGTCGGCCTGCTTCAGAAAGGATGGGGGGACGGATGGGTGAACGTGAGCCTGGCTCACCAAGGGAGGGTTTGGGGTCTGTATCCCGGACGGCGCATCGGCCCCGCCTCGATAAAGGCAAAGGCAAGCTGCACGCCGACGACGCGCGCCATCAAATCAACACGGCTCACGCAGCCCGCTTGCAGATGCAAGGCGCCACCATGGCCGCCAAGGACCCCAGGGACGAGGTGATCGCCCAACTCGAGCGAAGGCTCGCTCAGATGGAGGCCAAGCAGCTGGCCGCCACCCCCACGGGCAACTCATCCAGGGATCCTGGCTTCAATGCCCTTCTGCACAGGGTCAGCATCCTTGAGAGGGAGTTGGCCGAAGGACGAGGAGACCCCATTGTCCAGGTCTGGACGAGGACTCCCTTCACTGACATGTTACTCTCGGCCCCTATTCCCGAGAAGTACAGGGGAAACGCCATCAAGCCCTATGACGGCCGCTCCAACCCTCAGGAGCACTTCAGCCGCTACCAGAACAACATGTTGATGGTGAACGCGTCAGATGAATACCTCTGTCGTTGGTTCCTTTCTACTCTTGAAGGGCCAGCGTACGAGTGGTTCAACGCGCTCCCCGAAGGAAGCATAGACTCATGACAGGATCTTGCCCAACGCTTTCTCACTCACTTTGTCGGGAGGAAGCGTGCGAAGAAATATTTCACCCATCTTCTCTCCGTCAAGCAGCAGCATGACGAATCACTCCAGTCGTTCATCGACCGATGGACGAGGGAGACCGACGTGGTCGAGGGGGGCGATGAGCGCACCCTCTTGGTCCTGTTTAAGGGGGGGCCTCCGCAGCACCCCATATGCGAGGAGTCTCATCACTGACCCTCCAAGGTCCTACATGAAGGCGCTTCAGCGAGGAAACTTATACGCTGATGTCGACGAGCTCCACAGCCACAAGAAGGATGGAGGACACCCCTCCAAGAAGACGAACGTTGCGCCAGCTCTAGGCGCACCCTCGGTCGGGGACCGAGGTCAGGGAGGACAAAGCCGCCATGGATCTGGCGGAAAGAACAAGGACCGCATATGGCGGCCGAGGATGGAAAGGCCGAAGACCCCACTCACTCATTCGGTCAGCTCCATCCTCGATTATGCCGAGGAACATGATCTCATTGAGCGAGATCCTCGGACGGAAAAGGAGATCTATGTCGTCCATCAGGGCGGCACCTACTGCCGTTACCACCGGAACACCTCCCACAACACAGACGACTGCGTCACGCTGAAGAGAGCTATCGAGAAGCTGATTCGTCAGGGGGAACTCTCCCAGTTTGTTAAAGGTGGCCCGTGCAAAAATACGTGGGTAAACACCGGCAAACATGGGGGCGGACCCTCTACGAAGAAGCGTGAGATCGGCAGACTCAGCGATGACGACGAAGACTTTGAAGAGCCCCCTCCGAAGAAGAATCACATCCACCTCATTGTGGGGGGCAACACTGGGGGGGGGGGGGGGGACTCAGCCACCCAGAGGAAGAAATGGGCCCAGAACATACATCTCCAAGATACCCAAGGTTGAGTAGCTAAGCATGTCCAGTATCCATGCTATCCCGGTCATGCGCATCCAGCATCGGCTGGAGGACTGGATCACCGACATCATAACCTTCATCACTTCGAGAGAGCTGCCCCAGGACGAGGAGAGGGCCAAGCTAACCAAACTCATAGCCCCAAGCTACACCATCGAGGATGGAAATCTTTACAAAAGATCTTACAACGGCACTCTCCTCCGATGCCTGCACCCGGACGAGGCCGGAGTAGCCATGGAGGAAGTCCACTGCGACATCTACTCCTCTCATCAGGGCCCTTCCAGCATGTCCCGGCGTCTCGTCGTCCAGGGCTATTTTTGGCCGATGATGGCGCGGGATTGTGCCAATCTTGCAAGGAAGTGTACTGCATGCCAGGTCCTTCAGAAGGCCCCTGGTCGGCCAGCCGTCAACTACGCCCCGGTCAGCACTGCAATCCCATTCTCAAGATGAGGGATTGACCTGGTCGGCCCACTGCCCAGAGCTGCCGGCAACAACCGCTACGTCATCGTCGTCGTGGACTAGATTTTCAAAATTATTAAAAAATACTTTTTCCCTCTCATTTTACTTGTCTTACTTTCCTTTTTATCTTGTCCCAAAATAAGTGACATGTTTCTTTTTTGAAAAGAAATATGTGGTCTACAAAATTCAATTTATAATACTCAAATCTCAATCATAAACTTTACTTTGTCGACCACTTTATTAATAATTGCTTCAAATCAAAGTAGGGCACATAAAATGTGACGAAGGTAGTAGAAATTAAATGATGATATTTGAATGGATTTTGTTCGTGCAACTTCTTTCCAATTTTATTAGCTTTTTTAATCATAAAAGAGCGGATTTTTATATTAATAACGAAATGTCATACAAGACAACCTTCAGACAGTTATTACAGATCCAATCGTAAACCTTAGGAATAGACTTAGAGTCAACCACCTCGTATAAAGCAACCTGACTCGTTAGACACAAAATGGACAATTTTAAGCCTAAAATGATTATAATCAAAACATTGTCTAACAAAAGTATTCCAAATATCCAAATATTCAAACCAAAACTACTCGAACTAAAATAAACACAAGTACCACCAAAGCAAAGATATTACTGAAATAAAGCCTTTCCATAAAACTCTTCTTGGCATGGAGGTGGTTCTGGTGGAGGACGAGCTGCTGTAATATGGGTTAAAATTAAATTCCTTCTTCTTTCTTCGTTTCAGATAGACATAGAAACAGGTGGAGTCAAAAATAACTTTTACACCACGGAGCATCTCCCCACATCGAGAGAGACAAAAGCACCACAGAGCGCCAGTGCCAAGGAAAGAACCGTCACACAACAAACCAAACACAAAAACATTAAAAGAGTAATCAAATTGGATCATAACTACCCTATCAAATAATCTCCGACAAAGTTAGACCAATTGATGAGATGCAATCCAAGTCATCACAATCATCAATCGATCTTATTAAGTCCAACTATGGTGGCAGCCAAATTTGTAACGGTTATAAACTCAATGGAATCAGCAAGGCAAGTTGCACCAAAACGGATCCAATATATTCGAAAGAGCTTTGGTCCAAAGCAAAACAAACCAATGGAAAACCAATGAATCCAGAGAAAAATAATATCTCCTTACTGATAACATGTGAATAAGGGCAGAGGAAAATTGCTACTACGATTTGTTGCTTACCCGATCAGATAAATGGAGGTGGAGCCTAGGGTTCACATCTTTCCCCCTGCACTTCAGTAGTCTATTTTAATGGATTGTTTGTCAAAGGAGATGATGTTTTCATCATTTAATGTAGTATTAGATGTTAAATCAATATGGAGCGTAGTATCATGCATTTGTTCCTTCTAGTTAAATTGAATGAATTTGTTGAATTGCGGAAAAACTTCTTTTTAAGGAAAAACAACTTATATGATATCATTAGGATTCAGATGGTTGCATGAAATTCAAAGAGATCAACATTGATAACAACTATTCGTAATCAACTAGCACTATCAACCTTACGATTAAACTTATCACAATCAACTAGCATGCACTATCAGCCCTGAAAGAGCAATATGAATCACTAACCACCAAACGGGTGTGATACAACAATCAGTGGCCATATAGATCTTTCTAACGTCATAATAGCTACCAGAAGTGCCAATCTTTGTTATAGACCTAAACAGAGCAACGTAAACAAACATAACGCGAAAATCAGACCATAAAAAATAAAATAACTGATAAATACTTCAAACCGCCTCCTGCCATTTTTTCTTGAAATATCATCTTCCAAAACCTGACACCTTGATCGCTCCAAAGCGGTGTTTCAGGTGGGGGCGAACCGCCGATTTGTCTTCTTCCTTGTTCAGCCCTTCACCGCTCCCCGTCTACTCATCGACGGTGCCACCTCCCAATATTGTTGTTGTGTACTTGCCAATCGATTTTTCTAATGCAGTGATTTTTACTAGCGAAAAGTTCTCACATGATGTACCGAAATCCATGGCCTCCACCAAGAACACCACATTCCTTCGACTCCATATTGCCGACACCAGCCAACCAAGATATGGCCTTGGTTAAAGAAAGCTTGATCCGAGCATCAAGAACGAAACAACCGCACGCTTCAACGGTGGAAAACCTAATCTTACGCAAACCTGCGAGGGACACGATAGACGTGAGACTGATGGAACAAGCTTCACAATGAAACGCTACTATTGCTTTGTGTCAAAGCTACACTCAATTCAATCCCCCGCATGAAAGGCGGAATAAACAAAACATATAGAGGTAGACGTCCACGGCTTCTATGTTCCGTTATGGGAAAACTCTTTTGAAATTATGTTTTAATAATAAACTTAGGAAGAAATCTATATGAAAAATTTGTTTTGATGATTACCCTATCCTCTAAAATAACTATAGCTAATTCATTTAGAAAAAGTAATTCGAATCACATTTATTTTTATTACTACACCATCAAGAAAATGAATTCGAAAATTACATATTCTACAAGAAAATTGACTGATATACTAATAAAATTGATTTTTTTGCATTTTTGTATACTTATGAGAGTATCTGCTTGAGTTAATGTCAATAATCTTGATTGGAATGAAACTCGAGCATGTTACCCTCTCTTTGAGAGATCCAACAATGATGCTATCACAACACAAGATGTTTGACATAACTAATAAGATCGATAATAGCACACATCTTCTATTATACAAAAGCAGGAGAAATTTTGCACAGTATTCCCGCTCAAAATATCACATCAATGAGTTCGGGTCGGGTCTTCAAGTAATCGGATCGGATTGTCCATGGGTTCATAAACAGGCCAGAGTCAGCACATTTCAGACCATTTTAATGCTGGTACAGTAACAAACCTTGAGCCACAAAAATCTGTACTTTTAAATCAGGAGAAAAGCAAATAAAATCTCCACACAACCTTGAGCCACAAAAACATTAATTGAATTGTACTGTGATTAGACAGTTTTGTGGCTCTCATCCCCATTACGAAATAAGCTAATTTGAGGATTAAATAAATGGTGTAAATTGTACTTCAAAAATCTTTGAAAGTACAAAAAAAATCTCAGAGCAAGTCTTGAGCCACACAAACATTAAATGCACTATACTATCTTTACATTACAGAAAAGGATTTTGTACGCCACAGGCCCGATTTAAAGATTGTCCATGGGTTCAGAAACAGGCCAGAGTTCAGCACAATGCAGTTTTAATGCTGGTATAGTAACCAATGTCTCCATTTCACATGCTTGCTGCTTTTATTAAGAAAATATACAATTTGTACTTTTAAATCAGTAGAAAAGCAAATAAAATCTCCACACAACCTTGAGCCACAAAAACATTAATTGAATTGTACTATGATTAGACTGTTTTTGTACGTCTCACCCCCATTTCGAAATAAGCTAATTTGAGGATTAAATAAATGGTGTAAATTGTACTTTAAAAATCTTTGAAAGTACAAAAAAAATCTCAGAGCAAGTCTTGAGCCACACAAACATTAAATGCACTATACTATCTTTACATTACACCACAATCCCAATTTAAAGATTAATTGGGAAATTATCCCTTGGTTAATACCCCCTTGGCAGAAACTGTTCTCTCCCCGACCACTATAAATACCCAAGTGAAGGATTTTCTAGACACACCACAAACGAGCAATTCCAGATTTAGAGTTTACACTAAACAATGGCAGGTTCATCTACAACGGGGATGTGGTCTATGATCAAGGACATTGATCACACCAAGTCTACCTGGGCTCTGAAGGTTAGGGTTGTAAGGGCTTATGAGGTGTCTCCTCACTCAAAAGGAGGGGAGACCCTCGAGATGGTTTTGCATGACGCCGAGGTACAATTTATACTTCTATCAAAAATATTTTATATGATAAAACGTTCGTTGTTAACTTTTGAATCTGTAAAATAGGGAGATCGGATTCATGCAATAATCAAGAGACCACAGATTGCCATGTACAAGACTATAATAACTGAGCACAAGATCTATGCTATAAGGAACTTCTTAGTTCTAGACAATTACCAAACAGTGAAGACCACAAATCATCCCTACCTGATTCAGTTCATCTCTAAAACCCAATTCCGGGAGGATACGAAGACATAATTGCCTGTGATGGTCTACGATTTCCAACCTTTCGATATGCTGCACGCCCAAAGGGTTATCAACGATAAAACTCTCATTGGTGGGTAAAATAAAATTATAGACCTAACTAAATAACTTATGGAACTATGCTAACAACAGTTTCCATTCCACTGTTTCAGATATCATTGGGAAGGTTATCAATAAAAGCATTGTTCAAACCCATATCATCAATGGGAAGATAGAAAGGCTAATGGAGCTAACTATGGCAGACCCAGAGTATTTTTTTTCATTTAGAAATGTTATGGGTACGAAAATAATTTTTTATGCTAATGGCTAAAATCTTTTTGAAATTACAGGGGAAACAGACTAGGCTGTGTTCTATGGAACAAGTATATAAACCAGTATCAGGATTATGTTAATGAGAACCCTGGAATTGCTGTTTTTGTGATATTTCAACTGTGTAGACCCAAAAGATATCAAGGTATTACAACATCTAATTTTGATATGAACTAACATCAACGTATCATCAACTGTTGCTTAACAATGTTATTTACAAGCAGGCACCCTAAGTGTGGCTTCATCTTTTGATGTGTCCAAACTCATCATCAATGGAAACACAACCGAATTCTTAGAGTTCCAGAGCGAGTACGATTCATAAATTTTTTGACTTATAATTATCTAATCTAATAATAATAGTAAGTTTTAAAAAACAATAACTTACTTTGCACAATGAAACAAATAATAGATTTCCGGCGGATGGTGATGACTCCATATCTCAAACATGCAACACAAACTGCTCACAAGGTGAAAGGAGTAGGGATGTGCTTAGTGGTCATGTTGTCATAACCACTATGGAGGATTTGATGAATGCAACTGAGGTAAATATGTGTTAGAGGGATTTTTGTAAGCAGCATTTGTAATTGGTTGTAATCATTGTGTGTCAAAAACATTTTGAATGAATAGGAGGAGATTTACTGGGTGCTTGGTGAGATAGTTTCTATCGAAAATACTCGGGAGTGGTGCTACCTAAGCTGTCCAACATGTCACAAAAAATTGGTACCGGAGGAGGAGAGGTTCAGGTGTTCTACTTGCAGCGTGACACTAGGAGAAGGAGTCTATCGGTACTATAATATCACCTTATTTGATGCCAGAGATAATGTTGTTGGGGTTAATGTATTGTTTTACAAATATGAATTTCAAATAAACTAACACATCATGGACCTGATAATGATTAAGTTACAAGGTCAGTGTGTGCATCATGGACAACACCGGGCACGGAAATTTTATTCTATGGGATAGGGAATGTATTGAGATTATGAGGAAAACTTCTGCATCCCTAATGGCTGAGGTCGAAAAGGTAACATCTATATTGTATTCACGGCAATTTTATTCTATGTAGACCACTCATTCTATTTCATAATGCAACTTGGCAAAAAAAACAGAAAACAGGTGATCCAACCCGTTTTCCAGAAGATATTGAAAGCTTGATTGACAAAAAGGGAATATTCAAAATACAGCTAAAGAAGAGAGGTGAAGAGAATGCCTATAAAGGTAGTGTTTCCCTTGGAGTTGTTAGTATGATTCGAGATCCTAATGTGCTGGCAATGTATGAAGGAAATCATGAGCAATTGGTATCAAATGAAAGCCATGAGTGTACTCCAGAGAAGGTATTTGAAAAAAATCTTTAATCTTTAATAGTTCATTTTCAGCTTAGATCTAAATATGATGCCTAGAGTGAATCTTTCTATTTCAGATTGGTTCATGTTCAAACTTGGAAGGAAACGACAACTCGATAAGAGAGAAGTCTTCTGTTACTAAGGGCAAGGGAAAACGGATTTCAGCTGAGAAGGAGGTAAAATGCTCATCAACCTAACAGGTTTATAATGGTTTGAATTACGAAATTCTGAAAATGGAGTTTCTTTCTATTCATACTAGGTTACTGCCCCCATTGAGCTCTCAGATTCGCCTGTTGCTTCTACACAAAGAGAGGTGATTGTTGAATTGGATGACGAGATAAAAAGGAATCTCAATGATGAGTTTTCAGGCAATGGGAATGGAAAGAAGCTGAAGATTAAAATCAAGCAGGAAAAACTGTAATTGGGTTTGCAAAGAAGTGAAGATAACGTTTCGATGTTTTTGTGGAAACAACTAATGCGGTGTTGGTTTTTTTTGGAAAACTGTATCAAGGGGCCGTATGTATTTTGGAAGTGAAACACTATGTGTGACAGACTTCAAATAACCTATATTATGTCTATAGTGTGGTGTGCTAATTTGATGATGCTATGTTGTGGACGTATTATACCTTGGTCCTCTAAAGATTGTGTATTTCTTGAGCAATTGCAGGTTTTCTACAGAGAGAAGAAATTGCTAACTTTAAGGGATGTCTTTACACATAATTCATATCGGCAAGTTTTATAAAATAATTTTATAATGACACTGACACACTTATAAATGATTTGCAGGTGAAAAAAAGTTTTAGGCGTGTGGAGACTCCTAAATGAAGGCAACAAGTTTCTAACTACGGAGTATGTTTTGAAGTATTAGGAAACGTAAAATTTTGTAACTATGTTCATTCTTGAATGAGAGGTGTATTTATTTGATTTCAAAAGTGTATTCATTGGATTTCAAAGCTAAATTTGTATTGTTTATTGTAGAAGTTAATACATTTGCTATGATTGAAAATAAGAATTGGTTTTCTAATATTTCCAAATCTAAATGGAGTTCTAAACTACAGACAGCCTACAAACAATGAGAGTTGAAAATAGGGCCAATAAGGAGAGGTAAAGTGACATACCTGAGCAATTGGTATGGTTGATGAATCCTGCAATCCCTAATTTTAACTAAATAATATTACAGACCTTTTTGAATGTTTACATAAATGGCAACCTTCTAAGGTTCCAGAACTATTTCTATTACATTTTTCTACATGGCAGTCATTGAAATACCTTTCAACTTGAAAATTACACCTGCAAGAATTTAGGTATAAAGAAGTCAGTATAGAGAGTCATTATATCCAATTAACTAATTCTGATCATAGAACTTCAACAATCTGCAGATTAATCATAAGATTTAAACAAAGTTTAAATTTTAACCAATCTGTTAAAAAACAACAACTTTGTATTTCAAACAATCATTTGGTTATTGTATAACATCAATGTACTAAATAATTATATTTATCATTGACATAATAAGCATCTATATACATAGTATGTCTTATATATATGATTTGGGTATAATAAAAGATGTTTGCTCAAGAAATTATATTTCAAGTGCAGTTGCTTTATACCACACTTGAAAATTTAACCAATGTACTTCACTTGAAACTTCTCAAACCAATCATTTCTTGAAATGGACTTTTATGTTGTTGCTAGAAAAGAAATGAGGTATATATATTTTGAAATCAAGGAAGGAGAATTAACAGAGTCATAATTAAGTAGAGAACACTTATTGAAGCACGTAAACATGATTTCAGTTAAAATTCGTGAATTACATGGTTACAAAAGCAGCTGTTGAGCAGTTTTTTGGCCTAGATATGCGGGCGCAGGCATCCAATTGATTTGAAATGCCAAGCTTTTCCAATTAATAATTATTCATAGGCCATATAAGAGTTTGAAGGTAAAAAGGTTTATTCAAAGTAATATTCTTACAAAAAACGTAGATTGAATCATTTGGTTATAACCAATCTGTTAAATCATAAAGATTTAAATGAAGTTGTTGATTTAAACCAAACTGTTAAAAATCAGCAACATCGTATTTAAAACAATCATATGGTTATTGTGAAGCATCAATGTACGTAATACTTGACAAATCATTTGACATAATAAACATAATTTATACATAGAATGTCCCGTATATATGATTTTTGTATAATAAAAGATGTTTGCTCAAAAAATTAAATTTCAAGTGCAGTTGCGTTTTTGTAAAAGGAATACTCTGTATTTAGAATTAACCACTAAGAAGTAGTAATATATAGTGACTTATTGTGTTTAGGAGTACATAGTGATAAGAAAGGCATTAAATACATACCAGTTCACTATCAAATCAGAGGAAATAGGATGACAGTTAGGTCTGCACATTTAATAAAAGCATACACAGGAAACAAGTATACAAACCAAGTACATGATTTTTATAATTATGAAAATCTTTTTTCGGCAGACATTTTTTATTAATAACATTTTTAAACATGTTTTCAATACATTTACACATGGTCTGCTCGCATTAAATGAACCAACCTGCAGGATCCCAATACTAGGATGGCGTGTAGGTCTGCTCATTAAATGAGCACAGGCAGCAGGTACATATCACAATTAATAACAAATATTACTTACCAGTGGTCAATAACCATTTCTGCAGTCTGGGTGCATATATACCATTGTAAATGCATTAACTCCCTGCTCAGAAACTCATTTACTCAGCTCAACCATAACATCTAAACAAAGCAGTCTGCCACTGTTTCCAGTATAAAGTCTGAGCATTGATATTTCTACACAAACCTAAGGTATGTTTTCTACTATGGTTTTGAATGACAAAATGATCTACAAATGATATAAGTACCAGTGAAATCTTTTTTATGCTAAACATAATGAAAAAAATTGAAATCAGTTTTAATACTTTTATTTTCTAAAAAACTTAATGACAAATATTGAACTTTGCTGTTTAAGATGAGGTGTTGTTCATGTTCAAAATGCAATGCTCCAAAATGTCATGCATGTGGAAAACACCCGGGGCTGTTTTGGTTGGTACCATGCTATCGGTGTAATAAAAATTTAGGTCACTTTTACTGCATGAGGCCTCTAAACAAGAATAGGTATACTGGGAATTACATATGCCAACAATGTCAACAATGCCTAGATGCAGGCCCTATAATACCTAGAAGATCAGGTCGGTCTGTAACACTCAACTACAAGTACTTCAATGAAAACGTCACTGTGGGGATGAGTTTTGGTTGGCTTAAAATGGCATGACTGTATTCATGCATACTATGTACATGAAATATGCTTATGGTTTTTGTGGGATATGTAAGAGCCAAGCTGTTTTGTTTTTTGCAAATTGTGTGACATGTATGATCTCAAATAATCCTAGGCCATGTTTGTATTCTATGTAATGATTGTAATGTAATGTTATGTTGATGGTTGTATGCATATGCTTTTTTGAAGAAACACAACTGAAGAATGGTTTGATGAATATATAAGTTTATGCATTTCATAGGTTTTTCAGTACATGTTGAAATCCAAACTATATGGAATGCAAAGATGTTTTTGAAAAAATTGTAGAAATGTGAGGTTTTATTTACTTTACATTACTGGAATGTATGGCAATGGGTTAGGTTACATGTATTAAGGTCATATATGACTGCCAGACCACGCAGATCCGAAGGCCACTTAGATGGCTGGCAGGGAATCTGACAGCATATAGAATTGGCCAACTTACTAACAGCTCTTCAATGAAGAGGATCACCAAAAGCACCACAATTAACAGAAAAAGAAAGCTTGAAGACTTGACCAACAAAGGTAGTTTTATATGTTTATATTGTCTGAACTGATTTATAAGTTCAATAGTCCAGAGTCACAAATACAGATAACAGAATTGATAAACATCATTTATGGATGTATTAATTTCAAAAAATGTAGTGTGTCAAGGTAGCATATAAAATATATGAACTCAACAACAAGCTTTGAAACCGAACATTTCCAGAAGTACACAAATAAAAAATACAGTTTATAAAATAAATTTGACTCAGCCTTTGTAGATCTTTGAATACTATTGTTTGATTACAAATTGTATAGATCTGATTCGGCAAAGTGTTAATTAAAAAAATGCAAGTACAAGACATATATCAATATGGTCTGAGATCATTCAATATCACTCAGCCTTCATAAATAACTGATACAAAAAAACAATTTAGGAGAAATCCAAATACGGTTGAATACATCTGAGATCCTTTGTTAATCATCACTCAGCGTTCGTGTCATTCATTTGGTATGGATCTACAACAAATTTCAAACTAAAGATACCAACAGACTCTAAATATTCAACATTATCATATTAAACAGATGACCTGCTGGTTTAAAAACATAATACCAGAATAATTATCATATTAAAAAGATGACCTGCCGGTTTAAAAACAAAACACCAAAATAATAAGAGAACTAAAACAATCCACAACTTTTTGTTTAAAATCGTATAGATCTGTGCTTCAAAATTGGAATCTTATTATCCAATTGACATGCAAGTGAGAAGCAGTTAGCAGTATTAGGTCTGAGATCATTAGGTATCACTCAGCCTTAGTATAAAATTAACAATGGCATGTTCATATATGACTGCCAGACCACGCAGATCCGAAGGCCACTTAGGTGGCTGGCAGGGAATCTGACAGCATATAGAATTGGCCAACTTACTAACAGCTCTTCAATGAAGAGGATCACCAAAAGCACCACAATCAACAGAAAAAGAAAGCTTGAAGACTTGACCAACAAACTGTATAGATCTGATTCGGCAAAGTGTTAATTACAAAAATGCAAGTAAAAGACATATATCAATATGGTATTAGATCATTCAATATCACTCAGCCTTCATAAATAACTGATACAAATTTTTTTTTAGGAGAAATCCAAATACGGTTGAATACATCTGAGATCCTTTGTTAATCATCACTCAGCGTTCGTGTCATTCATTTGGTATGGATCTACAACAAATTCCAAACTAAAGATACTAACAGACTCTAAATATTCAACATTATCATATTAAACAGATGACCTGCCGGTTTAAAAACAAAATACCAGAATAATAAGAGATCTAAAACAATCAACAACTTTTCGTTTAAAATCGTATATATCTGTGCTTCAAAATTGGAATCTTATTATCCAATTGACATGAAAGTGCGAAGCAGTTAGCAGTATTAGGTCTGAGATCATTAGGTATCACTCAGCCTTAGTATAAAATAAAATGAATACATCAAAAAAGGGGGAAATACCGAAATCAAGGAGACATGAGGTCTGAAGTGTTTACATCCTTTGTCGCCGTAGTCGTGGTGCAGTAATGAAACATCGGCCAAACCATGGACATATGATGCAGATGCGTGACTTTAGCCACCGTTTACAAAACATCCGCCAAAGGGAGGTTCAGCATAATAATACAGAGAGGGTGAGAG